CCAAAGAGACCTGTGGATTGGCAACAGGCACATGAAAAGATGCTCAACATCATTAATCAGGGAAATGCAAATCAAAAAACTATAATGATATATCACCTTAACACTTGTCAGAATGGCTAGTGTAAAAAAAAAAAAACAAGAAATAACAAGTGTTGGTGACGATGTGAGAAAAAGGAACCCTCATGCATGGTTGGTGAAGCTCTAAATTGGTGCAGCCCCTGTGGAAAACAGTGTGGACATTTGTCAAAACATTAGAAATATGATACAGTATTCTACTGCTGGGTATTTACCTCCCTAAAAATGAAAACACTAATTCAAAAAGATATATGTATCCCTATGTATATTGCATCAGTATTTACAACAATCAAGATATGGAAACCACCCATGTCCAACTCACAGATAAGTAGATAAAGAAGGTGTGATGCACACACACACAACACACATACACAATGGAATATTACTTAGCCATAAATGAGATCTTGCCATTTGAAACAACATGGGTACACCTAGAGGGTGTTACACTAAGTGAAATAAGTCACAATAAGAAAGACAAATACCATATGATTTCACTTATATGTCAGTCTAAAAAACAAACAAATGAATAAACAAAAAAATCAGAATCAGACATATAATTACAGAGGACAAACTGATGGTTGCCAGGGGAGAGGAGAGTGGGAAAACGGGCAAAATGAGTGAAGAGGAGTGGGAGGTAAAGACATCCAGTTATGGAATGAATAAGTCATGGGGATTAAAGGTACAGCATAGAATACATATAATCAGTGATATTGTAATACCATTGTATGGTAACAAATGGTAGCTACTCTTGTGGTGACCATAGCATAACATAATACAGTATAACATACAATTGTTTGATCACTATGTTGTACACCTGAAACTAAAAGTAACATTGTGTGTCGACTACAGTTCAATTTTAAAATATTTGGCTCGGGGCGCCCAGTGGCTCAGTCGGTTGGAGCGTCCAACTTTGGCTCAGGTCATGATCTCAAAGTCCGTGGGTTCCAGCCACACATCAGGCTCTGTGCTGACAGCTCAGAGTCTGGAGCCTGCTTCAGATTCTGTGCTTCCCTCTCTCTCTGCCCCTCTCTTGCCCGCTCTCTGTCTCTGTCTCTCAAAATAAAGACATAAAAAAATTTTTTTTTTAAAATTTGGCTCGGGTTGTGATCTTATGGTTTGTAGGATTGAGCCCCATATCGAGCTCTGGGCTGAGTGTGGAACCTACTTGGGATTCTCTCTCTCCCTCTGTCACTGCCCCTTCCCCCTCTCAAATAAATAAGCATTTTTAAACATAAAAAATAATAAAAGTAGATACCTAGGAATGTTGGATAAAATAAAACAAAATGCTTGATTGAGCTTCAAAGATACAAAAGGAAATGCCCAATAGGCCAAACGATGAAAAAGAACTGAAAACCAGACATAGGTTGGCTGGCACTGTTGCTACCCTAGAGGGATTTACCTGAATAATATAAGGCTCCTGATGTTAACTTGCAGGTGAGGACAAGACACTAAGCCAATAGGCTGATGTGGGTGTGTGGGAGGGGAAGTTGAACCTGAGTCTTATGTGTAGCTGTGACCCTAAAAATGTCTAAACCTAGGTGCACCTGTGTGGCTCAGCTGGTTAGGAATCCTACCTTAGCTCAGGTCATGATCTCATGGTTCGTGGGTTTGAGCCCCATGTCAAGCTCTGTGCTGACAGCTTGGAGCCTGGAGCCTGCTTTGGATTCTGGGTCTCTCTCTCTCTCTCTCTCTCTCTCTCTCTCTCTGCGCCCCTCCCCTACTCATTCTCTCTCTCTCTCTCAAAAAAAAAAAAAAAAGTCTAGACCTTAAGTTGCAGAAATCAGTCACAATAGCTTCTAACTTTGAAAAAAAATCCCATCTTTGCTTGACTCTTGCAAAGGTCAATATCAGGAAGAAGAATCTTAACCTCTGAGATTCTGGTCACCTAAAGAACCTTGCTGTTTTGATTCCCTTTGTCGTCCTTCAAGCAGGATATGTAGCTGTGACATGTAGTCTGAACTCCAAGAGGTTGTCAAAATAAGACATTGTATCGTCTCTTCTTTCTATATCCTATCAGTTGATCAATTTGTCAGGTCTATCAGTATTTGAAATATGATTCTACCTCTAGGAAACTATCTCACAAATTACAAGATACTTATAAAATAATTTTCTTTCAATTATCAGTAATGAGTGTTTCAATGTTTTATTTGTAAGGGAAAAAAAAATTAGAAGCTGCCCTATGTCCAACAAGAGTAGCATTGGTTAAATGAACATTATATAGCCATTAAAAGAAATGGAATTGATCTCCATGTATGAAAATGGAAAGGATATCAAGACAACATGTTAAGATATTTTTAAAGGCAAGCTATAGAATAGCATTATTCAATAGAAACAGAATGCAAACCACACAAGAATTGTAAACTTTCTAGTAGATTTTAAAATGTAAGAAGTAGGTGAAATTAATTTATTTGACCCAATATATCCAAAATATTATTTAAGCATGTAATCAAATACAAAATTATTGATGATATATTTTACATTATTTTTATATAAGTCTTCAAAACCTGATGTTTGTTTTACTCCAACACCACGTCTTACTTTAGACAAACCACATTTCATGTACTCAATAGCCACTTTTGACTAGTGGCTGTAATAAGAGACAGTGCAGCTATAGAACAAATTTGTAGTACTCATATCTTCAAAAAACTGTAAAACCAGCTATGTAAGTATTAAGTATTGTATAGAAAACACTGGGGGAGTCTGGGTGGCTTAGTTGGTTAAGTGTCTGACTTCAGCACAGGTCATGATCTCAGGGTTTGTAGGTTCAAGCTCCGTGTTGGGCTCGGTGCTGACAGCTCAGAGCCTGGAGCCTACTTCAAATTCTGTCTCCGTCTCTTTCTACCCCTCTCCTACTCACCTCTGTCTCTCTATCTCTCAACAATAAACATTAAAAATAAAAATTAAAAAAAGAAACAGAAAACATTTGGAAAGATTTAAGAAATGGCTAAAGTGGCCATCTCTATGGGGTGGGGTTGTGGGGGAAGTGTTCAGAGTTCAGTTTATAAACATCAGTATTTCAATTTACTCTACAAGGATTTTAATTACTAAAACAGGAAGAGTAAAAGAAAATGCTTTGGCATTAAATGGTGGTGATGGTTGCACAACACTGTGAGTGTACTAAAAATCATTGAATCTTATACTCTGAAATGATGAAAATGTGCATATTTTGTTATGTGAATTTTATCTCAATTTGAAAAATATATGTATAGAACAAAGTACATACATTGTGGGGGAGAAATAAAACTAATGTGTTAATAAGCGTGGTAGTAGAATTAGAAATGCTTTTATTTTTTCTGATTTTCTCCAGTACACATGTATTCTATTTCAAATGTGTGTGGTGGTGGAATAAAAGCATTTAGGAAAGAAAGGTCTTCTTTCTTGATAAAATCTGTGTGCTCTGGATACAATACTGTGTCCTCATTGTGTGGGCAACTACGCAAAGGTAACCCTTTTCCAGCCTGTGAAGTATATACCTGTCTATACAATATTTAACTACCACTAAGTAAAACAAAGAAGCCATGTACCTTTTGCTATAGGGTGTCAAATAGCAAAACTGGTGCAACTCTTTCCTTCTCTGTGCCTTTGGATGTTGTAGAGAGGAGACTGTGTACCTGTATTTTGCAACAAAGCAGGCCTGGGTATCTAGCTCAGGCAGGGCTTCCAGCTTTCGAACTTGAAATTTGCTATGACCTGGCTGGCTTCCTGCCCTTGCCTTGTGCTTCTGCTGCTCCATTGTAAGACGAGGTGGTGAATTCTTGCTTCAATGGAGTAGAGAAGGGAATGTGTTAGATAAGTTCTTCAAAGCACTAAGAGAAGAAAGGTCCAGAAAAATAAAAGGTTTTTCACTCCCCACTGGAGACTCCAATCACCTAAAAGTAAATCGAGGAGAAAGAACTTATGTAACAACTCTTTGTCTTCCAATTAATAAACAGTCTCTGAGCTATCGAGTCCCTGAGGCTTCTTTTAACCCTTGAGTGGATGGTCTTTTTTATAGGCTCACCTGAATGCTGAGGTTTCTGCTGTGCTCCCTTAGCAAGGTTGTTTTGTTTAGACTTCACTTGATATCTTATTCTCCCCACAACACCCTAGCAGGTAAATAAAGGAGAATTCACAGTACAGGATAACGTTCCACGGGTTTTAGTTGCCTTGAAGACCCTTCAACTATCTTTTCAGGTATTTGTGGAGTGGAACTTAATTTGCTTCAACTGCCCCATTTGTTGTGACTGAAGAAGAACCATGTGAATGGGGAAAGGAGTGCAGGAAGTAGGACATAAATAAGTATATTACAGAACAACTTGTGGAAACTAATTCCTTCAGTGTTTTGAAAATCTATAAAATCATGTATCTATCTTGTGTCTATCTTGTATCTAACTATGTATCTATTCTCTATCTACCTACCTATTAATCTGTCTTGGCAAACGGATAGAAATATCCAAATCATTACCACTGCCTACCCCTGGGGCGAGTGTATGAACTATGGGGGGTAGTGAGAATGGAGTGTGTAGATAGCAAGGTGCAAGGAGGGACTCTCACTTTTTACTTTACACATGTCTGTACTGGTAACATTTTAATAGGTTGTTTTGTATCAAAAGAGGTTTAATAAAAATTGCCAACTGTAATCCTAACTAGCCCTCTGACAGTCCTCTCAAATGTCTCACAAAGTGGCCAGAAAGAGTTAACACAGATGTTTGAAGGGAGGACAAACTCCTGGTATGGTGGTGAGGGTGGGGGAAGAGTTAGAGTTGAGAAGCAGCAGCAAGTGAGGAAGGGGAGGGAAAGGAGGGCTGGCCATCCAGTTCTCACCCTAACCAATAGCAGGAAGATTCCAGGCCCAACGCCCATTTGTACAAACTATTTCAGGAGCCAAGAATTGCATCTGAGGCCATTGTCCCTGTGACTTGTCAAAGAAGGACTAAGAAAGGTTCCAGGTGTGGCTCCTAGGAGGGCAGTTTCTCCTGTAGTTGGAAGGTAAACTCTCAAGCCTCAGCTAATCTGGTGGTGGTAAGTGGGATGTATGCTTTCTTCTTTATGGTGTATTGACTTCTTTTTTCAACAGGACAGTAAGATGCTCGTGGGATAGGACTTTATTTTTACTAATGACGATTCTAACACTAAATTTCTAACAATGTGGAATGGTCCTTCCTGGTTCTTGTTTGCAGAGAGCAAGACAGTCTGTTGAAGCATTAGGGAGACCCCTGGATAGGCTTTGTATGGAAAGGAGGCAACACATAAATATCCTTTGTTTCACGATTTTCATGTCATTTCCCCCTCAGTTTCACTGAGAGCAGTTAAACTTTTATGGACATTATGGTTGCATGTAGTTTCACAGTAGCATAAGTATCCATGGTCTTAATACTTATCTACTGTGTATATAATATGGTCTTTGCTAATATTATAAAATGGGTTCTTGCTTTATTTTCCATCTCAGCAAAAAGTCTTTTTTTTTTATTAATATTTTATTTATTTCTAGGAGAGAGAGAGAGACAGCGCGAGCACGGGAGGGTCAGAGAGAGAGGGAGTCACAGACTGAAACAGGCTCCAGGCTCTCAGCTGGCAGTCAGCACAGAGCCCGACGCGGGGCTCGAACCCACGAAGCAAGATCATGACCTAAGCGAAAGTCGGACGCTCAACCGACTAAGCCACCCAGGCGCCCCCCATCTCAGCAAAAAGTCTTAAAACTCCCCTTATTTACAAAACAAAGCATGAAAATGTGGCCCAACAAAGCAGTTTGGAAAGACATCTAGTGAAATCACCCATATATTTAGGTTCGAATATAGCCTCCCAGGATGGTGCCCTGTTCTTAGTGTCACACGGACCTCCTTCTCCTCATAGGCTTTGCTAGTGATGGACTCATATATGATTCAGATGAACAGCAACAGCAACCTTCCCTCAGTTCTGGATGTGCATGTCAACATCGGTGCGAGAAGCTCTCTGCCAGGAAAAATGAAAGGCAGAAAGGCCAGATGGTCCGTGAAGCCCTCAGACATGTCCAACAAAACTTTCAATCCCATCCGGGCCATTGTGGACAGCACGAAGGTGAAGCCTAATCCAAACAAAACCACAATTGCTCTGTCAATTGGTGAGTTGGGGACTCTCGGGTGAGGGATAGTCATTGTTGCTCCTTAGCACCATCCTCGCAACTGGTTGGAGAAGTTGGGAGTAGAGAAGGAATCCAAGCACTGGGCATGGAAAAGTAACCTCTTGTTGGCTCTTTTTTTTTTCTCCTCTTCTATGAAAAGGGGACCCTACTGTGTTTGGAAACCTGCCTACAGACCCTGAAGTCACCCAAGCAATGAAAGATGCTCTGGACTCGGGGAAGTATAATGGCTATGCCCCCTCCATTGGTAAGCTCTTCCTGAGACTGTCTGGTGGCGTACAAATCGTTAGTGCTCTTCTATTAGGAGTAAATTTTTAGTAATTCTTCTTGCTTCCGTGATTCATAGATCCTAAGAAAGAGGCTAAGATAAAATGACCATTTGGATTTGGGGGTAGGGATCTCAGAATGCGTAAACACAGCCAGCAGGGTTCAGCTCCTTTCCTGGCTTCCTTTGGAACACTGGCTCCTCCTCTTTTGTTCCGTTCATGTATTTATTTTTCAAATAACAATGCAAATTTTCGTATGAAGGCCTTTAATTTCACAGCTACTTGTTTACTGAGCTTCTGGGTCCTAATTTACTTATTGCACTATGTAAATAGCTCCTTGGCTTCATTTCCACTTCTCTATATAGTCAACACTTATTTTAACTATGGCCAAATATCACCATGTGGTTGAATGTTCTGTTCACATTGAAGTGCATTTCTAACTATTTCAGCTTAAAGAAAGAGATAAAAATGAACTAAAATATAAAGAATGGGCTGTCCCACTGAAAAGGAGAAGGTTGTTTCTGACAGAGAGAAGTTATTCTTATTTAGATGTTTTTGAAATAGAAGTTTCAGGTGTACAGTTGTATAATACAACAACTGTATATGCTACGTAGTGATCACCGCAAGTCTGGTTACTGCCCATTACCATACAGTTGACCTCTTTACCCATTTTCCCCATCTGTATTCTTATTTAGTTTCAACTGTCTCCATCTACTAAACATTTCCACATTAAACATTTATTTTAGTGTTGCACACACCCCTTCCCCCATCTATATGTGCGTCTAGAAACATATTGTTTACCTTTTAAAAATTATCTGTATTTTTTATTTGAATATAGTTGACACACATTACATTAGTTTCAGGTGTACAACAGTGATTCAACATCTCTATACGTTATGTTCTCACCACAAGGGTAGCTGCCATCTGTCACCGTTATACTAGTACAGTACCATTAACTATATTCCCTATGCTGCACCTTTTCTTCTCATGACTTACTCATTCTATAGGTGGAAGCTATATCTCCCTCTGCCCTTCACCCATTCTGCCCATCCTCCTACCGCCTTTCCTCTGGAAGCCATCAGTTTGCTCTCTGTATTTATAGTTCTTTTTTTTTTTTTTTTTACATTTATTTATTTTTGAGAGACAGAGAGAAAAAGAGCACAAGTGGGAGGTGGGCAGAGAGAGAATGAGACACAGAATCTGAAGCAGGCTCCAGGCTCCGAGCTATCAGCACAGAGCCCAACGCAGGGCTCAAACTCACAAACTGTGAGATCATGACCTGAGGTGAAGTCGGACGCTTAACTGACTGAGCCACCCAGGCGCCCCTCTGTATTTATAGCTCTGATTCTGCTTTTTTTGTTTGTTCATTTGTTTGTTGTTTTTTTTAGATTCCACATATGCGTGAAATTATATGGAATATGTCTTTCTCAGTCTAACTTCTTTCACCCAGCAAAATACCCCCTAGGTCCATCCATGTTGTCACAACTGGCAAGATATAGTGATATAGTTCTCATGTAGGAAACAAATCCAGTTTTGTGCTAAAATACAATTTTAAAAACACTTCAAAGAGTCTGAGGGACATAATTTTTAGGTTGATTGTTTATGTTTTATAAAGTTTCATACAACAAAAATCAACAAAATAAGACCAAAAATTAGGTTATAAAACAAGTTTATAACTTTTATACCCAAAGTATTAGGGAACTGATTCAACCTGAAAAGACAAAACCAGTTCTCCACTTGACAAATATTCAAAAGATATGAACATTTCATGCCTAAGGAAATATAGATCATCACATTTATCTAGGAAAATTATCTTCCTTATTAATAATTAAGAAAGTGCTGATTTCTATAAATTCAAGACATTTATCTCTAACTATTAAGTGGAACATTATGAAATATTGCATCTGGACTTTATTGAATGGAGTCTTCTTGTAAAGCAATTTTGCAAAACATAATTTGCATGATGCTGTCTCTACTTCAAGCTTGTAAGCCAACATTTGGAAATATTGTGTAAGAATTGATATTAAAAGAAAAAATTGTGCAAAACCCCTAATAGGTATATGATGTAATGTAAAAAACTTAAAAGGGACCGAAAACTTAAATGCATTGATTACAACGCTTCAAAAAATACAGTCCTGGAAGGGATTTAGGAATAATCTAAATACTGTTTTTTTATGAAAAATAAAACATAGTAAGCAAGATGATGTAGAGTGTTTTATAGTTTGGAAAGTTCTCATTGTTATTATTTACACATTTGTGATTATTATTTGTAAAACATAATTTAAACATATATTGACTGAGAGCTAAACTGAACAGTATGTGCTCTTAGCTGGGGAAGGAGGTAGCTGAGGCCCTTTTGACTCTAGGGTATAGTGGTCAGTTGCCAGATGCAAACTTTCGGTTTCTTCCTTCTGTTCTTTCAGGCTACTTATCCAGTCGAGAGGATATTGCTTCTTATTACCACCGGCCCGAGGCACCCCTGGAAGCTAAGGTAGGCCCTTAACAAGGTAACGGCTCTGAAGCAATATTGGGAAAGCCACACCTTTTTCCTTGTTTCTGTTCTACAAGGAATAAGGGTTTCAGGAAACAAAAAGTGTGAAGAATTTCCCTATAGCAATTTGAGAACTTCTCATAGGGTGAGGCCACTTAATCTCTGATGATATTTAATATCATTACAGTATGGTAATGATGTTGAATACAATTTATGTGGTGTTCTCTTTCTTAAGGAGGCTCAAAGGACTCAGAGGGCCACCTACATTTGAGTTTCTGCAAAAGAACTTTATTTTATTTTTTTAATATTTTTATTTATTTCTAGGAGAGAGAGAGAGAGCGTGAGCAGGGGAGGGTCAGAGAGAGAGGGAGTCACAGACTGAAATAGGCTCCAGGCTCTCAGCTGGCAGTCAGCACAGAGCCCGACGCGGGGCTCAAACCCACGAACCGCGAGATCATGACCTAAGCAAAAGTCGGACGCTTAACCGACTAAGCCACCCAGGCGCCCCACTGCAAAAGAACTTTAAAAAACAATAATTCATAGCAACAAATAAGTAACATTTTTTATTTTACCAATAGGATCTTTCTTAAATTTGTAGCTTCCATCATTCACTGTAAGGTCACTCAGATGGAGGGCTCCTGGGTGGCTCATTCGGTTAAGCATCCAACTTCGGCTCAGGTCATGATCTCATGGTTCATGAGTTCAAGCTCCTTGTTGGGTTCTGTGCAGACAGCTCAGAGCCTGAAGCCTACTTTGGATTCTGTGTCTCCTTCTCTTTGTTTCCCCCCGCTCACCCTTTGTCTCTATACCTCAAAAATAAATAAATATTTTAAAAAAAGCTCACTCAGATGGGAGGATTGAGGTAATATGGAATATTGTATCGATGGCAGCACCAACTTTAAATGCCACTCTCCCTCTATCATCGACTGAGTGCATCGATATTTTTTTTTTTTTTTAAATGTTTTATTTATTTCTAGGAGAGAGAGAGAGAGACAGCGTGAGCAGGGGAGGGTCAGAGAGAGAGGGAGTCACAGACTGAAATAGGCTCCAGGCTCTCAGCTGGCAGTCAGCACAGAGCCCGACGCGGGGCTCAAACCCACGAACCGCGAGATCATGACCTAAGCGAAAGTCGGATGCTTAACTGACTAAGCCACCCAGGCGCCCCTGTGCGTCGATATTTCTTAACGTAAGTGGTGTCCTCAGTCTGTATTTCAGAGAAGAGTTGTGCTTCAAATTTCTGGTCAAAAGTAAATAAATAACCAAGTGAAAAAGTCCAAGGTCATAATGTTCTCCAATGGAAGTCTGCACAGCCGACATGTCCTTGTTAAAGTGATTTACTTCTTTTACGTGGTCAATACTTTCAACATTTAGATATGGACATACATAAGCATTTTTTTTTTTTTCAATTTTGGCTTAGTACCGACCTTACTACTTTACTGAGAACTTGTAAAAGTAAGTATATGACTGCTCCCCACTCACCCATCTGACAATGTCTCTTCTCCTATTGCTGTTGGAACCCCTAACAAAATGAACCTTTTATTTCTTCACAGGATGTCATTCTGACTAGTGGCTGCAGTCAGGCTATTGAACTTTGTTTAGCTGTGTTGGCCAACCCAGGACAAAACATCCTAGTTCCGAGACCTGGTTTCTCTCTCTACAGGACTTTGGCTGAATCAATGGGAATTGAGGTCAAACTCTACAATCTATTGGTAAACAACTTTTTAATTTTAGACTCCAGTGCTCAATTACAACTTTGTAAAAATATATGACCATTGTCTTAGCACAGAAAGATGTGGAAGTAGGTGGTGGAGGCCACAAACACATTTTATTATTTAGAATATACTGTTAAGTGAATAGTCCCCCTCAATTTTTCAGAACCATCTTAATCTCACCCTTTCTTCCTCCCCAGCCAGAGAAGTCTTGGGAAATTGACCTGAAACAAATGGAATCTCTAATTGATGAAAAGACAGCTTGTCTCATTGTTAATAATCCATCAAACCCCTGTGGGTCAGTGTTCAGTAAAAGTCATCTCCAGAAAATTCTGGCTGGTAAGTCCATCAGACTTCATTTGACAGGAGAAGATATAGGAATAGGATCCTTGAGCTGTTTCTTGGAATGAGAAAAGGGTTAGTTCCAAGCTGAGGATGGAGGTGGGGGAGGCCCACTGGGGTCTCCAGTGCACAGTGTGAACAGGAGGCCTCGCCTACAAGTAGGTGAGAAAAAGGCAGCACTTGCCTCTTCACTATTTCCATATGTGGAAGAGTGGGTTTGAAATATCTGGTCAATCAAATGGCATATTTAGCCTCTGTACCCTGGAAGAGGGCAAGAATTTATAGTTCTTAAACAGGGAAACAAAACACATAAATATCAAATGCAAAATACAGTAAGTGCAGACAAATATTAATTGCTAAGGCAATTCACATTAAAAAACATTTCAGCCTGGGGGTGTGTGGGTGGCTCAGTTGGTTAAGCATCTAACTCTTGATCTCGGGGTCATGAGTTCAAGCCCCATGTTGGGCTTCATGATGGGTGTGAAGCCTACTTAACAACAACAACAACAACAACAACAACAACAAGAAAAATGATTTTGACCTGTTTTTCTTATTTTTAGTGGCTGCAAGGCAGTGTGTCCCCATCTTAGCTGATGAGATCTATGGAGACATGGTAAGTTTTGGGGGGGATATATGACTAAAATCTCATTTCCAAATTATTTCATGGGACCTTTAGAGGTGGCGTCAAAAATACCAGAAGTAATTCCTAATCATTTCAGTACACAAATCAGTATCCCTGCACTCTTAAAAGTGTATATAGATTCTACCACCCCTTAACCAGTTTTCTGAAGTCTAAAAAGGTATACAAATCTGAAGATTTTTGAAATTCATTTGGTGGGAAAACCTGGCTTGACCTGATATAAAGATATTTGTAGATTTCTTATGTATCTCACTTACAGATCTATATATTTGTCAAGAACGTAAGGAAAGGAAAAGAAATGTTAATATGCTTGATTAGGAGTACTGTCCCACCTGCCTTGGGGGTGTTACATAATATATGATCCAGGGTAACTTCTCTAAAATACAAACAATCCTGCATTCTGCAACAAATATGGGCCCAGGAACCTCAGGTAAAGGGTTGTGGACACCTATTTTATTTTTTAAATCTCTAATTCCAACAAGCATTCATTCCCCAGAGTGAGCTTCGTTGAGTTGTACATATTCTTGGCATAGGGTCAGTATCCCCATTGTAGGCTTCCTTTAATCCAGACCAGACACCAGGTTATATATCTTTATATAGTCTCCTTTCAAGCCTCCTGGGCTCCCAGTCATGCTTCAGGGTAGGATGAGCCCATAAATCCAAAGTCCTGTCCCTAGTTGTACAAAGTAAAGGCTGGGAGGTGTGGGACTTGGAGGAAAGTCAGAAGACAACTGCAGGCATCTCTTCTCAGGTGTTTTCGGATTCCAAATTTGAGCCTCTGGCCACCCTCAGCAGCAACGTCCCCATCCTGTCCTGTGGAGGGCTGGCCAAGCGCTGGCTGGTTCCCGGCTGGAGGTTGGGCTGGATCCTCATCCATGACCGAAGAGACATTTTTGGCAATGAGGTAAGAGCAATGAGGTGACCAGGATGCCTAATTTAGGATATATATGTATATTTACTTTGCATGCACACTGGTTGGGAGGTGATTTTTTTGGCCGTAGTGTTCTTTTTTCTTCTTTCTTCTTGGTCCTGTAGTACTGGGTGCTGAAAGATGCTGGGTAAAGATGGTACTGAGTTATTCCTCTCCAAAACTCAGTTTTCTTGTATCTGTATGAAGAAGTTCCATCTGTTTCTAATTTTAGGACCACAAATAAGGAAACAATAGCTATAATGATCCCTGATATTGTTCGCAGGCTTATAAATGTACCAGCACTTGATACGCATTATTTTACTTCAATCCTCCCAACAACTCTATGAGACCATAGTATTATCTCCTTTTTACGGTTGAAAAAACTGAGGCACTGAGACATTATATAATTTGCCAAGTCACGCAGCAGGTGTGTGATAGAGCTGGGCTACAAACCACGGTGGTCTGATCTAAGGGGGCCAGTAGGCATGCACCACCACTTCCCTAGAGATTACAAACTTGATGGAAAGAGTGGCCAGAACCAGAATCCCTAAACCTGGAATGCTTAACGAAGGCTAAATAATATGCTTGTGGGTTGGCGGTCTTTTAGATCCGAGATGGGTTGGTGAAACTGAGTCAGCGGATCCTGGGACCCTGCACCATTGTTCAGGGTGCTCTGAAAAGCATCCTACACCGCACCCCTCAGGACTTCTACCACAACACTCTGAGCCTCCTGAAGGTAAGGGCAGCCCATACCCTTTTACTTTGGGAGTGTGGGAATGCCGCAAACGCGGTTAGGAATAACGGGTCTTCGTTTCTGGAGCAGTGTTCCATTATGGGACCTCCAAATAAGGAGATGGCATCTGTGTAACTATCCGCCCGTCCATGTCTCTCATTCCTGGCAATTCACTCTGCTCCTGGCCAAAAGCTTCAAATGATAGGATTTTTTTTGCCGATTTCCTATGCCCTTTATGCCAACAGAGCAAACTTAGGTTCCCTGCCTCCAGCATGGGCTCTACTTTTGATGACGTGGTTTTCTTTCACTTCTATTTTGATCCTTGACATCTTTCTGCCTCCTCTTGTAGTCCAATGCTGACCTTTGCTATGGCGCACTAGCTGCCATCCCAGGACTCCGGCCAGTTCGCCCTTCTGGGGCCATGTACCTCATGGTAAGTATGTAGGTGGCAGGCATTTGCTGTAAGGCAAGCAGAAGCTGGTCTGCAGGACTCACAAAGACAACCAGCTAAGCTTCCGGGCCTGTTAGTTTAGGAATCGCTTTGTTCTGAATGTCTGTTCACCTCACCGTGAGGTTGTGGCCTGAGCCAAAGTTGGGCGCTTAACTGACTGAGCCACCCAGGTGTCCCTGTTTGCAGAATAACTTGGGGCATTGGCATTTTGTGGACTGGGGACACTAAATATCTTGTAATTGGTGAGATAGTTCCATGCAATCAACAATGGCCTGGCTCATAATGCTGATGTTCCCTTTTTAGAGACACATTGGCATTCCATTTCCAGCTTTCACTTATCAACATCCAGGGAGGAATGCTTCAATAAACTAGGATATTAATATAAATATATCCTCTCTTCCCTATGAAAAATTCCCTGGGCTCCTAAGTGTTAGAACTCTTAGTTATCAGTAGTAGAGTTCCAAGATATTTTTTAGAGCAGTCTCTACCTTAGTTTCTGGCATGGGGAGTTGGCCTGTTTTCCCTCCTGATAAGTTTGCCTCTCCCTGTTATTGGTATAGGTTGGAATTGAGATGGAACATTTCCCAGAATTTGAGAATGATGTGGAGTTCACAGAGCGGTTAGTTGCTGAGCAATCAGTCCACTGCCTCCCAGCAACGGTGAGTGTTAATATCTCTCAGTTAAGGACATTCCCAACGGTTTCTAGAGCCGTGGGTTGAGTTGGTCTTTAGCATGCCTTTTCTCCCCCCTCAACAAAGCGTATTCTCATTTGATAAGATTCACACTGATGTCTCATGGCCTCTATTCAAAGTTTGTTTCTCCCCCATCATTATCCCATCTGTACCAGGAAGAAAAGTTGTGGCTGAACATTTTAGGTGAAGGGAAACAGGCCTGTCCCACAAGTCCCTCTTAAGATGAATTGTTTCTAGACTTAGCACCCCAATGATGGTGTCAACCAAGAAAAGAAGCAGGGCTAAAAATAAAACAGAAACATTTATTTGGTGTCTCAGAATTGCAGTTTGGGGAACACAGATTTGGGTGGTGACCCAAATAGTGTCCTTGCACTCCCCAGAACAAAAGTCAAGGGTTTTTTTTTTGTTTTGTTTTTTTAAATGTTTTATTTCTGAGAGAGAGAGCGCGAGCAGGGGAGGGTCAGAGAGAGAGGGAGATACAGAATCTGAAACAGGCTCCAGGCTCTGAGCTGTCAGCACAGAGCCCGACGCGGGGCTCAAACCCATGAACCATGAGATCTTCACCTGACCGAAGTCGGACGCTTAACCGACTGAGCCACCCAGGCGCCCCAAGGTTGTTGTTTTTTTTTTTTTTAATGTTTTATTTATTTCTGAGAGGGGGAGAGAGAGAGAGAGAGAGAGAGAGCAGGGGAGGGTCAGAGAAAGAGGAAGATACAGAATCTGAAACAGGCTCCAGTCTCTCAGTGGGCTGTCAGCACAGAGCCTGATGTGGGGCTCAAACCCATGAACTGTGAGATCATGACCTGAGTTGAAGTTGTAGGCTTAACCGACTGAGCCACCCAGGTGCCCCCAAGGGTTTTTAAAGACAAAAAGGAATGCTTGTATATGATGTTTATAAATAATTTTGATTGATTGATGACAGAAAACTAATCTCAGCTGAATTGGTTACTAAGGCTATCACTAAGCTACGTCTCTTACTGTAGCAAGAACCAAGACTCTAGCTGAGTCCTTCTGAGATCTGTGGTTTGGCCCAGTTCAAAAGTTCATGGTTTCATGGGTGAAGAGGTACATAAGGTCCATCCTTAATGGCCTTCTGGGTCCATTTTAAAACCCCTTAACATAGGGGCACCTGGGTGGCTCAGTAGGTTGGGCGTCCGACTTCGGCTCCGGTCATGATCTCACCATTTGTGGGTTCGAGCCCCGCATTGGGCTCTGTGCTGAAAGCTGGCTCTGAGCCTAGAGACTGCTTCGGATTCTGTGTCTCCCTCTCTCTCTCTGACTCTCCCCTGCTCACACTCTCTCTCTCAGAAATAAATAAAAAACATTAAAAAAAAAAGCCAAACCCTTAACATAAGTGACCCCATTTTATTTCACCTTCCACAGTGGAACTGAGTGAATAGATAGCTCTGAGTAAATGACATCAATGCTTCTTGCTGATTAGGACCCTGGCCACTGTAGGGTGGTTCAGTATCGGACTCAATTGCTATGAGAATAACAGGCTTTATTTTTGCAGTGCTTTGAGTACCCGAATTTCTTCCGAGTGGTAATCACAGTCCCCAAAGTGATGATGCTGGAGGCCTGCAGCCGGATCCAAGAATTTTGTGAGCTACACTATCACTGTGCTGAAGGCAGCCAGGAGGAATGTGACAAATAGGCCCAAGTCCATTCTCTTGAGTATGTGTCTCATCTGGGGAAGGCTGGACTCAGCCTTGCTGTTCCTCAAGGGAGGTCAGGTGCCCCTACTGGGAGAGGGGCCTCAAAAGCATGTCAAGGGTTCAGAATCGCTCCTGCTTTCCCCCACCTATGTCCACGTACACACTCTGAATCCCAGATTCTCCTCTCACTCTGCTCTGCTGGAATTGACTCATTCATTAATCTGCCCCCTCCTATATGACTTCCTCCTTTTTTCCTGAGAGTACTAGGTAAACAAAATTTACCAGAAAGCAGTAGAGACAAGAAAATTAAAAGCTCACAATAAGAGAAACAAAAGATGGAGAGAATTTGTGCCCCCAACCATTTCCTCATACTATAAGTAAGAATATACTCTCTCCAGTTAGGTCTGAGGCCCAATTCTGTTACTGCTTCACTTCAGGTATACCTCGCTTTATGCAATAGAACTATAATGAAAGAAGTTGGGAACACATATATTGGTTAATTATATTCTAAACACATTAGGAAAGTTTGCTAATTTGAAAGATCCCTTACAGAAATATTTTCCATGATTTTTTTTAAAGAATTGTTGATCGTGTTGGGGGCCTGTCTGGCTGAGTTGGTAGAGCATTTGACTCCTGATCTTGGGGTCATGAGTTTGAGCCCCAAATTGGGTTCAGAGATTACATCAATCAATCAATCAATCAATCAGAATTGTTGATTGTAAAGGTAATCAATGGACTTTCTAAATTTAGATATGTGTACATCAGGGTTTCTTAAAATGAGGGCACAGCTGTATAAAAAAAAAAAAAAAAGGAGGAATCATAGGAACTTCCAGTGGTGTAGGGGCCAGAAATATTCTCACTTATCACTGTTATGGAATCACTGCTTTTGCTGTAAGGTTGATAATGATTTATTGATATGTATATTATATTATCTTTTCATATGTTTTCTAAGAAACATTTATATTGACAAGATCCTTTATTTTGCCAAGAGCATAAATTATTGTTTTTCTTTTTTAAAAAAATAAATTTTACTAAGTATCCTCTTCTGCGATGTGATTTTTCTCCTCTGTGGGGAATTCCTATCTCTAGGAGCTGCTCTTTACTCAGTCTGATTGATGTATTACCCACTAAGCTTCATTTATTTCCTTGTCCATGTACTGACATTTGGAGTTACTTAAGAAACACTATTCCTAAAATATTTTATTTGGGAGCTCATCTTCTGGGCTCCTAATTATAAATAAGGCAAACTAAGAAGCAACGTTTTAAACCTCTGGCCTTTGACTTTACACTTTCAACTTTTTGTAACTCCAATCTCTGGTCCCAAATTCCTATGCTTTACATCTGCTAACCACTCACTGGTGAATGAAACTGAATGGGTTCAGGTGACCCAAGGACTGAGAGGTGTCAGACATCTTTCATTATCCACCTTTTCTCTGCAAATCCTCTTAGTCACAGTTAACTAAATTTTTCCTCAAAACTTCCCTTACAGAAGGGAGCATGAAGTTATCTTGCATGGCTGGGGACAGGAGTATACCATAATCAGTCTGCAGATTACTCACTAAAAGAAATTTTCCTTATCCTGAGGAGGAACTTGAGGTCTCAACCCTGCCAATCACACCCAATTAATTTCCTTTACGTCAAATGTCCACAGTTAGTGGGTTCATGCTAAAATTAACCTTTTAATTTTCTTTGGCAAATCCAAAAGGAACATACAACAATAGAGATAATAAAGATTTGTTTCCTGTAGGCCACCACTCCCAATAATTTTCCGAAAGTGTCTAGTTCCTCTTTTCCTATACCATCCTTGCCCCAACCCCTGAAGATCTCTGTCCAAAAATATTCAGGAAAGCTTGGTGGTTTACACAAGATGGTTTATCTTAACACGTACATATAGTTCCATCCAGCTTTACTGAATTCTACTCAGAGTTCTTAAACTTGCGACTTTCTGTCCACATTTTGATAAGAGTCAAGGACATACTCAAACTTTAAAAGAAAAACACATGCACACTCGACACATTTCAAAAGATGCAAAGACAAAAATATACCTGTAACCATGTGTGTGAAGCTTTCCTTTTTTCTCTCCTCTCTTCAAAGTACTTAAAATTTTTTTTAAGTTTATTTATTTTGAGAGTGAGCGAGCGAGCAGGGGAGGGGAAGAATGAGGAAGAGAGAGAATCTCAAGCAGGCTTGCGCTGCCTGCACTGCACACAGCCTGATGCGGGGCTGGAACTCATTAACAATGAGATCATGACTCGAGCTAAGATCAAGAGTCAGATGCTTAACTGACCCAGGTGTCCCCGGCACCCATAAAGTAACTATTATGGAGCTTTGTAATTCAGCTTCCTACGGAAGACAAAGAAGGGATGATATTTCTGAGGTGTCCATTACCTCCAGGGTGTTTCTAAATAAAAAAGAACCCCTGTGCGTGGCTGCTTCCAAATAAGATTAAAATTCCCCCAGAGACAGCTTCCAGATGCTTCTCGATGGCAGTGGCAGGAGAATGCGTTAGAAGGTCTGCGCTTTCACCTTTCTTTCTAGGCCAGAGCACCACCTATAGGGTAACTGGCCAGTACAACACACCAGGTGTCACATCACGTCCCACCCCAGTGCCCAGAAGCCAACAACTCCGGGACAGGTGGATGCGAACGCAGTAAGGCGGAGACAAACTCGGCTGCGTAGGCGAGGTTGCGAGAAGCGCCGCGCTGCTCAAGGCGCATGCGTTGTCAGACGTGAGGAACGTAGGACCGCTCAGGGCGCAGGCGCAGAGCCTGAGAGGTCGGCGAGGGTGGGTCCCTTCCCCAGATGCTGGTCCCCCTCTCGCTCCCACCCCGCCCAATTTGGGGCGTCGGTTTCGTTTCCTCCTCCTCCTACGTCTTTCCCGGACCCGCGCCCTGTGGAGAGGTTCTCTTCCTCCTTTGCCCCCTGTCTGGGCCACATCTGGCAAGAGGCTTCCCGGAAGTTTGGACATCATCTTTAGGTATTGTAAATACCTGTTAAATAAGTGAACTGTACATTTATTTCTTTTCCCAGCTCTGGGCCAATCCCAGAAAATCCGATGAGTTGTGAAACAGAAGCAGAAGTTCTCAGTAGCTGTTGTCAATTGACAACCAAAGTGTGGTCCCTGGAACTTTTCTCCAAAGAATTGTGTCCTTCATAGTCCTGAGTATCTGGCATATATGTTCGAATCCCTACTCAGCCGGATGAATGAATCCACTGCTATGTTCCACACACTCCGCACATTACTACAAGTAGGGGCTGTATTTTATGTTGTTACGTTATTATTATTTTCAGGAGGGGCTGTATTTTAAGTACTCTAAAAGTTGACTTATTGAATTCGTTGGAGAAGAAGAACTGAGTTCTCAGTACATCTAATTCATGCTCTTATTTATTTTAAGCAATCTGGGTGTGTTTACAAACAAGTTTCATAGGGTGTCCTAGAATCTACAAATCTGGATGCTCTTTGTGAGTGAAATTGTTAGACAGCATCTTCCAAAGAAGCAGTCACTTTCTGACATTACAACTGAGGGATATTATGTAGGATGTGATGCCACCTGTGCAAAGGAAACAAGTAGAAGAACTAGCAAGTGTGTCTTAATTTTTGTCAGTGTTTAGGGCATGGAAAAGAATTCTTGCCCTTTGAGACATTTACTCATTTGGTAATTGAAATGCAAAGTACATTATGGAATTCAATGTACATTATGCCTTATTTGTTTATTTAAGAGAGAGCACGAGCTAGGGAGGGTGTAGAGGGAGAGAGAGAGAGAGAGAGAGAGAGAGGGAGGGAGAGAGAGGGAATATCAAGCAGGCTCTATGCTCAGTGAGGAGCCCAGTGCAGGGCTCAGTCTCCCAGCTGTGAAAGCATGACCTGAGCAGAAATTAAGAGTAAGAGGCTCAAATGACTGAGCCACCCAGTCACCCCACATTATACCCCGTTTAAAAAATAAAGCCACAGGAGTTCTTGATCTGGTAGTACAATACTAAAATTGTAACAATACAGAGAAGATGAGCATGATCCTAGCAGTCCAAATTCAACAGCACAATAAAAGGATTATACACCATGACCAAGTAGGATTTATTCTTGGAATTCAAGAATGGTTCAACATATAAAAATCAATCACTATAATACACAACCACAACAAAATAAAGCATGAGTGGCCCCTGGGTGGCTTAGTCCTTGAGTGTCATACTCTTGATTTTGGCTCACATCATGATCCCAGGGTCGTGGGATTGAGCCCTGCATCAGGCTCTGCAATGGAGCTTCTGCCCCTCTTCTCTGCTCATGCACACTCTCTAAAATAAAAATAAATAAATAAAAATAGGGGGCACCTGTGTGGCTCAGTCAGTTAAGTGTCCAACTTAGGCTCAGGTCATGATCTCACAGTTTATGATTTTGAGCCCTCTTGGGCTCTGTGCTGACAGCTCAGAGCCTGGAACCCGCTTCAGATTCTGTGTCTCCCTCTCTCTCTACCCCTCCTCCATTCATGCTCTGTCTCTCTCTCAAAAAAATAAATAAATAAAAATTAAATTTAAAAACATAAAGGGCAAGACAATATGATTGTCTCTATTGATGCAGACAAAGGATTTGACAAGATTCTACACTCTCTCATGATAAAAACACTCAAGCTAGAAATAGAAGGAAATGGTATGAACATAATGAAGGCCATCTATGAAAAGCCCATAGCTAACGTCATACTCTATGGTGAAAGCTTTTCCAAGCTGCCCACTCTCACCAATCCTATTCACATCAAATTGGAAGTCCTAGCCAAAGCAAATAGGCAAGAAAAAGAAATAAAAGACATCCAAATTAGGAAGGAAGAAATAAAATTATCTCTCTTATTAGATGGCATAATCTTATATGTAGAAAACCCTAAATATTCCATAAGAAAACTACTAGAACATATCAACTGTACTTCCATAAAAAATAAAAATGAAAAAAAGCAAAGTCATAAAAAAAAACCTACTAGAACTAACAACTGAATTCATCAAAGTTGCAGGATACAAAAACCAACACACAAAAATCAGTTTTTATACATTAATTTACAATCTAAAAAGGACATTAAGAAACAAATTTCATTTACAATATATCAAAAAGAATAAAATACTTAGGTGTAAACCTAACCAAGGAGATGAAAGGTGAAAAGATGCTCACTAATTATCAGGGAAATTCAAAACAAAGCAACAATAAGATATCACCTCATGCCCATTAGGATGATTACTACGGAAGGATGGAAGGAGAAGAAAGAAAGAGAGAGAGAGAGAAAGAGAGAGAGAAAGAGGAAGGAAGGAAGGAAGAAAAGGAAGGAAGGAAGGAAGGAAAGGAGAAAAAGAGAAAAGAAGTATTGGAAAGGTTTGAAAAAATTGGAACTATTGTTCACTGTTGGTTAGAATGTAAGATGGTACAGCCACCATGGAAAATATGGCAATTCCTCAAAAAACTAAAAATTGAACTATCATATGATCCAGCGATACTACTTCTGGGTATATATCCCAAAGAATTGAAAGCAGAGTCTGCAAACATATGTCCATAGCAGTATTATTCATGAAAGTCATGGGGTGGAAGCAATCCACATCTTCACTGATGGATGAATGCCTAAACGAAATGTGGTGTATACGTACAATGGAATACTATTCAGCCTTAGAAAGGAAGGAAGTGCTATAACATGGATAAAGCTTGAGAATATTATGTTAAATGAAATAAGCTAGTAACAAAATGACAATGTATGATTCCAAGTATAGGAGGTGTCTAATGTAGTCACTTTCATAGAAACAGAAAGAATGGTGGTTACAAGGCATTGGTGGGGAGAAGGGATTTGT